GCCTGAGCTACAGCCACCCTGATGGCAGCTCGAGTAAGGAAACGTGAGCCGTCTTCCTGTATTTTTCAACTTGCCATTTGACCCTGAAGTGTAGGCGGAAGAATACATGTGGACAAAATACTGGGGTGATGACAAATACACTGTTGGTGACTGTAATCTCGTGTTTTGCTGTATTGTATCATAAACAGAGGCATTCCAGGGAAGAAATGCGGGACCATTATTGTGAAAGCTGAGGAGCTGAACAACTGCAGGGTGAGAAAGTGACTTCTACCTCTGTTTGCTAAACGCTGCATGTGTCCGTTTTCTCTGCACGTTTCACTTTGTACAAGTGCTTAAGGCACTATGGAAAATTAAAGTTACCAATCCAACTTTTTCCTTTTTCCACATAATACTAATACTTGACTTTTGCCATCTGCCGAGATTGAATAATTTATACTGGCACAGTCTGATATCCCCGTGTCGGTGTTGTTCCTGAGTCATCATAATTAATGTTGGTCCAGGTTCGACACCGTAAGTGACCAGTCACCTTGCTGTGATCTCGTGGTTTAGCAGCATGGACACACAAAAACCAAACCCCTGTAACATTAACCCCTTCCCTTCGTTTTTATTCCACATCAGCAGGTTTTTTCCATGCTGCAAAACTATGACATCACAACAATGTGAAAGGAAGCATTCCTTCAAAGGTGTGACCCTGTGCTCTTTGTTTCCTTCATAGTATGCTAGCTCTGCTGCTAGCAGAATAAGCTAAATGGATTATGACGGTTATTCGATTCAGCCTTATGAGTCACGATTGGATGGATTTCAGGTCCAAAAATTGTAATGATGCTTCCCCAGTTACAGCAGCTGTTTGAATGTCGGTTTTAATTTTGAATGAAAAATGGCGTACCTCTTTCTAGTGTTGGCAAGAAGCTGAACTGGCTCGAGCTCCCTTTGAATATCTGTTTCATGCAGTTCCCGAGCCCACAAAATAGAGAACCGAGGTTTGCAGATTCAATAAAACACAACTGTAGACAATAAGCAATACAGTTTTTGGATCAGTCTATCATCATGTAAGATCTTTTTCTTTTTTTTTACAGTTACTTTGTGCTATCATAGTCATATTGAGAGGAAACCCATATTAGAAACGATGCTGCATTCAGAAAATTCAGCCTTCCACCCTGACTTAATATATTCCTTTCACTCTCTCCTCATTAGGAATCAGTGATGATGCAGTTCTGTGGAAACAAGTTGGACAAAAAGGATTTCTTTGGCAAATCCGACCCCTTCCTGGTCTTCTACAGGAGCAACGAGGACGGCACGTGAGTTCCCGTCTCTTCATTGCTTCGCGCCCCCTTTGCTCCGTCTCCCCTTCCGGGTCTGGTTTAATCCTTCCCTGCATCCAAAGGAAATTGCTTTCATTGATTTGCCTCAGATCAAAAGCCATCCTGCCTGTTTAAGCATTTATGTGAGTGACATATGGAGACGCTAACATGAGCAACGTGCGCACAGTGTATCTGGAAGCAATAGGATAAGGATTTTGTGTGTGTGTGTGTGCGCGCACATCCGTTTTGTTTGTGTTTTCAATCCAGAGCGCCCCATGAACACTCCTCTCCATCCTGCAGTGTGTTACAAGTCAGATAAAGCCTTCTGCTCTGAGGGTGGGAGATACCAAGTCCACTTTCTAGCTGAGGGACTAATGAAATTAGCTTTTTTTCCCTCTATGTCTGTGTGTTTGAGTATCAGGAAAGTACTGTAGCGTGCACACTCTTCCACTCAAAGTGGCAGGAAGTTAGCAGGATGTCTCTTTAATTGAATATTCTTGTTTTTATTCCTGCTTATGTTTATTTCTTAAATCCATCTTTTCCTTTCTCCTGCTGCTGTTTCTGTGCTCTGCCTTGCCCTGGTGGAGCTAGAGATGCTCGAAAGCACAATAAGAATGAATAAAACGATGTTATATTGTTTTGTTTTTGTTTTGTTTTGGGGTTTCTGAGCAACAAACTTGGAAACTCCAACAGTCATCCCTGTGCTACATTTCACTAACATGTACGAAATACATGTGACGTCCAGTTAGTGCAAAATCTTGGAGATAGAGTAAATTGGGACAGTCAGTTACAATGGGGCTGATCTATACATCTCAGTTCTGTGCTCGTCTGCATTTATTATGCCACACTTTTGCAGCAGCTGCTAGAGGGAGAGCTACCGTAGCGTGGAGGAAGCTAAGAACAGTGTGGAGGGACTCGGTGCATCCAATGCCAGCAGCTTTTCTTAGTGTTTCTGCAAACTAACTGCAAACCTCCTCCTTCTCCGTTTTTCTGCCTCTCGCTTGCTCTCAACATAACAGGTCATCCACTCGATTAATGTTATCCTCACTTCACCTGTGTCTTGTCAGCTCCACTTCACATGTGAGATGTGCGCAGGCGAGCTCAAAGTGAGCCCGAGAGCAAAAAAAGGAAAAAGTAGCATGACCGTAAATGACAGCACTATCTGGTAACCTGCAATGACTCTCCCACTGAGCTGAAATAACACCAGTGTAAATAAATTAGCAGAATAATGGAAATCAATCTTCTTGTTATCCATTTTCTTTATCTTGGTACTTCCGTCATATATGTAGTAAGGAATAGAGCTTATTGGTCTAGCAGTGATAGCAGCAATAAACCAAAGCCAGGAAATAGTATCGTAACTACTCGGACAAACAACATTAAGCTGTTTTGGCTGTTGCACTTTCCTCACTGCCTCTCCTCCTTGTTGTCTCTGCAGGTTTACCATCTGCCATAAGACAGAGGTGGTGAAGAATACACTGAACCCTGTTTGGCAGGCTTTTAAAATCCCCGTTCGTGCTCTTTGCAACGGTGATTATGACAGGTATGTCTCTTTTTTTAGACAGCAGCTATTATGGCGGGTTAAGTACAATGCAGCGACCAAGACGGCCATCTGATTCATCCAGGGGAGTTCTTTTCAGTGTGAAAGGCACTCAAAAATGCCATTTTCAGTAATACATGCACCTCTGATGATTTCAGTGTCTGATGGCCTCTTCAGACTGCGTAGCGCTAAAGCATTACATGGGTATCTGTGCCTTACTTTCTCTCCCATCTGCTTATTTTAGAACAATATTATCTATAGGGGTTAATTAGCGTCAATTATTGTGTCACTTTTTTATTAGGGTTCATTTTAAATCACAGAAGCTGCCCATCATAGAGCGTTTTCATTATGATTAATTTGTAAGGTCTCTTGTTTTAAGCCATGTTTTGGAAATAATCCTGAAATTGATGTAAATAAATGTGACAGTGAACATATATTTACTGTATTTTGTAAGGAAATTAGCATTTGTTAAATTGAGTACAGTGCGAATGAATAATGCATGATACTGTTTGCAGCTGCCAAGCTTAAATATTACATTTGTCAGTTTCAGCAGGAGGGAAAAGTTGATGAGTGTAGATGCATGATTTAGTTTTCCTCTGGAAAAGTGTTCGACTGTCATGTTTTATAGTAAGATTACTTCATCAAAGTCGGTACATGTTTATACATTTGAAAGCAGCGTAGCGGTTTAACTTCTAAATGAAGCCTGTGACTGATGTGTCATCCAAACGATGCTTTTAGAAATATGCTTCATAGTCGCTTTGGAAGAAAGAACGTATTATTTTCTGGTGGTCGGGTTTATATTTAGTTTAGTGGGGTCAACGCACAAGAAACAGACTGCTAGAAATGGTTTTGTCATACCAGGATTAAGTGAAGCAAAGATCCAGAGAGCAGCATTTCTTCATTGTCTGCACTCACACACACTATATGTCCCAAAATATCTGATCTTATTGTTTTTTCCATTGATTTAGAAACTGATGTTTGTTTTCTCTTTAGATTTCTTTGCAAAAAACAGGCGATGAAACAGTTTAACTAGTTAAGCGCCTCAGTACCGGGGGCAAAAGGGACGAGATCGCATTTAATCGGTTAAACACAAGGTCAGAAATATAAGTCTCGACATGTGTAGCATCCACAGAAACATCTGAATCTCAGCTAGAATCTCATATAAACCATAAAAAGCAAAGACGCCAAACAGTTACGTGATTTTCTGGAGTTAAATGTGAACCAAAGCATATTTTCAAAGGTGTTATATGCTAGAAAATACTTTTAAAAATTAGGCGATGGAAATTAAAATTGTTCTATGTTTGAGTCACAGTACCTTTGACATAGTAACATCTGCAGTAATATTTACACCTCTGATGAAATTCCACAGGTATTAGCTTTATTTTGATACCAAGATTGTATACATGGAGTTCGTAATTGCAAAGAAATACACTATTTATTTTGGGCAGCAGGAAGCTCAGAAAACCCCGGGGACCTAACAGGTTAAACATGAGCTTATTTGAACAAATTGCAAGAATACTTATTCGACCGGAGGCAAAAATGTATCTACATATTTTGGTTAGATGTTTGTTAAAATTTCAGGCAAGCAATGACATTGCTCATGTTGATGTAATCTGTTTGAATCAAAGCAACTCTGCAGGGAAGGGACAGCTTTAAGCATCTAATGTAATGTCTTGTTCCTGTCACACAGGCCTAGAGAACTGCTTGCAAGTATCTGGCAACCAGTGGTCACTAGAGGAAAATGTGTATTTCCTGATCAGTCGGTGAATAATTGCTGGCAGCCGCTAAAGCCACAGGATGCAGGCTTAGAGAAATGTCAGCGATCTGCTGATAAACACTGATTTTAGGGAAAAGTGTGCATTGCTGGAGGTTGCTGTCAGCGGCTAGTGTGAAATTGGTCACAAAGTGGTTTACAGTGATGCACCGAAAACTTTCAGGGGATTACTTTGATTGCATTTGGAGTCACCAGGTGAATCATCAGTGCAATGAAAGCTTTAAAACTGTAATAGTAAGGCAAAGCTTCTGCTTTGAAGGTAAAATCTCTCATTTTCTGCTTTGCTTCAGATTTTGTAACTATCACTTTGCTGACGGTGTCTTCTATATAAAGCTTGGGTGACTGTGGCAATTTGTAAGCAACTAAAGCAACAACAGAGCAATCGCCCTGTTGGTGACAGCCAGCAACTACTCACCCACCAGCTGGAGATACATTTTTCTCTAGAGGGCTAGTGGGTCTCAAGGCCTCTGAATCTTTAAACAAGCTCTTCTTAAAATGCTACCCAGCATTTAATTCAGCTTTCTTTTAAGAAATTTTGAACTTTGCCAAAGATGAGCATGTTAGGGAAATCTTTCTCACCAAATTCATGCACAGCCAAGAGGAGAAAAACTGAAACTGAGCATTTACAGCACCCTGAACTACTAATATCCATCCATCCATTCGCTTCTGCTTATCCTTTTCAGGGTCACAGGGGCGCTGGAGCCTGTCCTAACTGTCATAGGGCGAGAGGCGGGGTACACCCTGGATAGGCCACCAGTCTATTGCAGGGAGAGACAGACAACCATTCGCACTCACATTCACTCCCAAATGCACAATTATGGGCAATTTAGATTGATCAGTTAACCTACCCCCACTAACTGCATGTCTTTGGACTGTGGGAGGAAGCCAGAGTACCCGGGGAGAACATGTCACCGTGCTGCCCACTAATATCTACACCATATTAGTAGTAAATATATGCCAGAATATAAGAAGGAACATTATACAAAGCTGACACATTTTTGCATAATATCCTCAAATATCAGAAACATCGCTATGTGTAATTATTTGTTGTGCAACATCTGTTTTACTTTAAATCTCAGCAGAAGTCCAAGACCAAGTGAGAAAGCAGATTAAAGCAGATAAAAGTGTGTGCCTCTCTTATGACAGCCATGTGAGTCCCGTCTCCTGTGTCGACAGCAGCTGTGTGGGAAAAGGGCACACAACAGGGTTTAACATAGCTAAACTAACAGACAGCAGCATCGATCTGAAGTTTGGTCCAGTAAGCTTACTGGATGAGGTGAGACCCAGCGTGCCTTATCAATAGAAGAGTCAGGAAGCTCAGTGGACTCGCACACAGAAACACAGACACGCAGGAGTTGAGTGTGTGTTTCTACAGTCTGGGAAAAGAGATAACGGGGAGCTCAGGCTGGCAAACAATAGGGAACTGTGTCTGTCTGTGCGTAGACGCTGTGGTCGGCCTGCAATCACTTGCTCGCTCTCACTCAAGCACACACACAAACATGTACATTGAGGCTGTGAAACTGCTGTCAGTTTCTCATCACATCATCAAAGCTCACCGTGACAGGATGCTTCCTGCTGAGCTGTGGCACAACACCGACTTAATAAGACACCCGCCTATATAAACACATGAAAATACATTTATGCCAGACAGATCAGCACGCACTTGTACCTCTCCAGGAGGCAACGTTACGCCAGCCAGGAAACACACTCATCAGAGTGCTCATCATTATCAGACAGCCCATTCCCACTCCTTATCTTTACAGCTTTCTTTCCTTTAATGTCCATCTGTCTCACTAAGCAGCTCTAAGGCCCATTAATGATGGTTTGCATTTCCACTCTTTCTCATACTGGGAGATAAAAAGGATGGAAAAAGTGCAGTTTTGGCTTTGATTTCAAATTAGATGCTGCAAGTTTAGAAAGTTGTACAGCATGCGTGCTCCCAAACTGCTTTTCACCGTGAAAACAACAGCCTTAATCGACTGGGATTATATGAGTACTCATTCTCGCCAGCAGAGTGTTTTTTGCCCCACCACACACACACACACACACACACCCTCCATGTGTCACTCCCCTTTGTCAGGCAGAAATAACCCTCATATTGCAGATATTAGTTGATGGCATGATAGCGCAGCATTATCTGCCTCCTGCAGACTGTTCTGTTTTTATTTATTTTTCTCCCAGCTTCCTCATAAGCTACAATAGGATGCGGAAAATAGATTTATTTGGAGATGGATCCACTCACAGTGACAGGCAAACAGTGAGTTGGAATAAAGATAAGCTGCAGAATGGATCTGCTTCCACTAAAAGCTCCATGACATAGATGAAAGAAATTGGCATTCTTCTGGTCTCGGTGTACTTCATCATTTTGCAACATTGTGTCTTACTTTTTAAATATGTTGCATGGTGCAAATAAGCATTTTAATGCCTCCAGGAGTATAAAATTTAGCTGCACACCAGCAGAAAAAACAAGCGAGTTGTTTTGTTAACCTGATTCGAATCTGCGCCTCTCCTAACAGAACAATCAAGATCGAGGTGTACGACTGGGACAGAGACGGCAGGTAAATACTTCCAGTGTTATAGTAATAAGTCATATTTTACATTACAGGCTCCAGAAGCTCACTTCACTCAGCTCACGTAAGGTGTAAATACTCTACAGCTGAAATAATAAATGCTGGCATTCCTGTGCTGCTGCTATTGCTTTTAAAATCAGATTTACAGACGTGTATTTTTGCTGTTTATATTACATGAACATTTTCAAATGGTACAAACTTCAAGGCCTGTTGGACTGAATTTTTTTTCAGGGATATGTAGTTGTGTAATGCTACAATTGTCACGTGTGGAGTGTGAGTGAGGTGGACACAGGCGAGGAGATGGGACTGAACTTTAAACAAAAAGCGAGCCTTTTATAGCTGATGTCAGAAGGCAAAACAAAAGCTAAGACGAGTGCAGGGAAGACAACTAAACTGGAAAACACACTATGAAAACCTATAATACTAATTACTATACAAAACTATGAAACAGTGATTAAGCTATGACACTGAAGACTAAGTCTATGACTGTGACGACTATGACGAGACATAACTGGGAAGGTTACACCGACAACGTGACACTGAACACAGGAAGAAAGAGGACTTAAATACACAAATGAGGAGATCGGGGAGGTGGAGACACATGAGGAAACAGCTGACAAG